ATTTATGCCTTCGATACGATCACATAATTTGAATTAAATAAATAGCACTGCGCACCATGGTAGCCGATACAATCATGCAGCAGTTATCATGTAGTTCTGTCCAAGAGGCCTTTGCTGATTAAGAAAATTTTCACTTTTACACTTCCATATGGGCAAAAATAGTAGACATATTCTTTGGTTCAAAAGCTGCGAAGTTTTCCACTGAATTTCAGGTATTGGTAAGCGAAACGTAAGTGCATGTAGTTGCGGATAAGTTGCTCCGGACACACATACATGCACACAAAGACAACCTCGTGACAATATGCGTTTTGTACTGCTGTTACACATCACAAAACCCATAAAAAATGATTCGAACTTGCATTTAATCACTACAAAAAGGTAGTACGGGCCTGAAGGGCCCTGTGAGGAAAAAGAAAGCGGTTAAATACTCGCAGTAATTCAAGAGCAATTATAATACTTGCCGTGAGTATTTTCCCGTGCCAATAAGTGAGTCAAAGACGAGCATGCTGCAGTGTAAAAGTTAAGCTTAAATTTTTGGGCACTTTTATCATCAATCAAAACTAACACAAAACTTTTGTAAGCACTCTCTCTCTCTAGTATACCCTCCATTTTCTAGTTATATAAGCTCTTCTATTCACTGAGAGCGCTCTTATGAAATGATATATCAGTTATTATATATCCACCATGAAAATCCTCAAAATGTCGACTTAAATCTCCCTCTCTCTCTCCCTCCCTCTCTCTCTACAGGTTCGCTTCTAATGATTGCGCTTGGAAGTCCGCTTTTTTTTTTTATTTCCATTGACCCTTGTTTTTTTTTGACCACTGACCCTAATCTAACCCTTTAACCTAAATTTTTTTCTAACCTAAATTTAACTTTTAACCTAAACCTTTTACCTAAATCTAACCCTAACTAAAACTGACCTTAATCTAACCCTAATCAATTCTCAGAAGAAGCCATCGATGGTCTTGTCATCAAGCGAATACTTGTCATCCTCGGAAACTCTGGAATATTCCTATCTCCTAAAAAAGTGAATGTGGAAAGGATTTTGACCCGACTAATATGTATGATTCGCAGCATCGCTACTTGCTTGTAGCTGTTGAGGCTACTTATTTTACGAACGGTTTCTAATTCAGTACTGGATTCGTCCTTGTTATCAACGAAAATGGTAAGCTTCAAGACGGGCTATGTAACACAGGCACGCATAAGGCTTACTAATCGAAATACATGAAAAAAGCCTTGGTACAAAAAAAAGTCGCAGGTAAGCCATCAAGGGCTTTTTTCCGCCAAATAACTACATTTATC